GGGTGTGGGGGGGGGAGGACAAGGACTGAGTTGAATCTGTGACACAGGTTATTTCTAAGGCTCAGGACCCACCTTGCTGGGCCTGCTGACTCCCCTCATGTCACTAACAACTGTGGTGTGTGCTCTGCCCCATCAGAGGAGAAGATACAGCCCCTGACGTGCCCTGGGCCTCCATCCCCCCAGCGGCACGGGGTTTGCATTAAATAAAGATGGAGTCCAATGCTTTTTAAATTTATTTTAATGTATTTTAATAGCAAATTTAACAGAACAGCACAGAAGACAGACAACATTAAAAACATGTACTTGCACCTTGGCCGGTTTGGCTCAATGGGTAGAGCATTGGCCTGTGGACTGAAGGTCCCAGGTTCAATTCCGGTCAAGCGCATGTACCTTGGTTTCGGGCACATCCCCAGTGGGGTGTGTGCAGGGGGGAGCTAATCAATGTCTCTCTCTCATCGATGTTTCTAACTCTCTATACCTCTCCCTTCCCCTCTGTAAAAAATCAATACAAATATATTTTAAAAAAACATGTACTTGCATGTAGGACAACTAAGTTGGAAAAGTATAGTGAATGGATGGAATCTACTGTTTGATAAAAAATGCAACAAACACCATTTCGTTGCCATCAATAAGGAATTGACTTGTTTTTTTAAAAAAATCCAAATGCTGGAATTGCCTAGAAAAATTTAACAGGTTTATTTACATTGTTATAAAGGTGAACTGCTGAAACTTGTTCACGGAAACATTTGACTTGCATTCATGCTTTACGTCCCCGCATTTATATTAAAAACATCCACACACAAATAAAAATGGAAAAACTGCCAACACCTGGTTTCTGTCCCCTATTTTCAACTTGCGATCATATACTTAGGTACCTTTTGACCCCCTGGTAAAAAAACAACAACAACTCTAATGTTCAGAACGACCAATAACAGGAAGAAGAGATATCGTTTAAAGGAATGAAATGTTTCCCAGCACAGTGGATTCTTAAGCACGTTCTCCAGGTGTGCGGCGTGCTGGCTGGGTGTCTTTGGGCGTAACAGTTACACGTTTGGCGTGGAGAGCGCACAGGTCGGGGTCTTCACAAAGGCCACCCAGACAGGCCTCCCTTGCCTCCTGCAAAGCACCAACCGCTGCACTTTGGAGCGCAGGTCTGTGTTGAGGTCCTGAGCCATTTCTCGCACCAGACGCTGGGAGGGAAGGTTGTGAATCCGAAGTTCAGTGGACTTCCGACAATGTCTAATTTCATGACCAGGCCTGTAGAGATGATGTTTCTTCACCCATCCAGTAGAGGGCGTACTCTTTCGAGCGCCTTTGGTAGCCAGTTGCTTCCTGGGTGCTTTACCCCCAGTGGATTTGCAGGCAGTCAGCTTTGTAGGAGCCATGGTAGAGAGACCACTTTACTTACCCGCCTTCTCCTTCGGCTGGAGCTCGGGGAGCTGGAGGCGGCACAGGCGTTAGAGAGCGAAGGATGGCTGCGAACAGCCCAATGCTTTTCCCTGTCACTCGCTGTCCTGTGGGGTCATGAGGTACAGAGGGCACAGCTGCTAAGTCTGCCTTGGTCCTTGCCCTGGACCACTGCACTGGGGCCAGACCTGGGCAGAGCGGCACCACAGAAGCATCCTGCTCTCTCAGCCATGGCCACGGGGGCCTTCCTTTCTTCTAGGATCAGACGCTTGGGTTCCTCCCTTCCGCTACGGCCTTTCCAACACTCCCAGGAAAGGGTGTTGAAAGCCACGGAATGGGGAGAACACAGGACGCCAGGGGGAGAATTCCCCTTTGGCCAAGAGAAACCAGCGAACCAGAGGGCAGCCTCCGGGGACAGCACTGGGAGGATGAGAGAGGCTTTGAAGGACGAGACTGGCAGAGAATGTCACTGACAGAGAATATCGCGTGTCTATTGTGTGCATCGTCCCTGGACCCTCAGAACAAGCCCGGGAAGGCAGGGCAGAGTGTGGCTGGAATGAGGCCACATGAGTAGAAAGTCATCACTTGTTGGCAGGAACAAAAATTAAAGAGTCCCTTTCCTGAAGACCCAGCCCATGGAGAAGAGAACAGCCAGGAGCTCTCCTGGGATGCCTCCACGTGTCTCTTTCCCGTGTATCTCACAAGGGCAGGGATGGTGGCATGACAAGACCCCAACATTAGGCTTCGGGAGGCTCTCCCCTATGCGCACTCCTGGCTCCCCACTCTGCCTTCCTCTTCCTCTCTAGGTCTGCCCCTGAGAGTCCCCTTCAGCTCCCACGATCACCCATGCAGCAGGTGTGCAGGCCCACCTGTGACTTCCAAAATCCAACAGATTTAAATCAGGACTTTCCAATCTCCTACCTCTTTTGGCTCTAAAGGGGGAAGAGTCCCCCATCGGTGGGGAAAAAATGATGGGTCCTCCTACTCCAATTCAGCAATGGCCAAGGCTAATCCTATATAATAAAACCCTAATATGCAAATTGACCAACTGGCAGAATGACCAGAAGAATGACTAGTCTCTATGATGTGCACTGACCACCAGGGTGCAGACGCTCCACACAGGAGCTGTCCCCTAGTGGTCAGTGTGCTCCCATGGGTGGGGGGGTGTGCTGCTCAGCCAGAAGCCAGGCTCATGGCTGGCGAGCACAGCAGAAGTGCCGGGAGCCTCTCCCGCCTCCACTGCAGGCAGGGGGTTAAGGAGCAAGGGATCCCGGACTGCAAGAGCCCTGGACTGTGAGAGGGATGTCTCACTGCCGTCAGGGGATCAGGTCTAAGCCGGGAGGTGGATATCCCCTGAGGAGTCCTGGACTGCGAGAGGGCTCAGCCTGGGCTGAGGGGACCCCCCTCCAGTGCATGAATTTCACGCACTGAGCCTCTAGTTTCATATCAAATTCCCCAAGAACTAACACACCTTTCAGCGTGTGTTAGGAAAACATATTCCTACATTCAGCATGGTTTCCCCCACTGCTGTGGGAAAAAAGACACCTGATTGCTGAGGTATAGTCCTGCCTAACCTGTCCTGATCAAGGGCCCTCTACAAGGACTTCTGCATCAACCTGAGAGCAGCTGCTCTGTCTGAAGCCTCCAGGAGGATGGCACTGACCCCAGAGAGACTCTCTCTCATCCCCCAATTTTGAGTCCATCAGAAAATGTGCAAAGGGAATTCTTGTCTCTGAGAAGCACTTCTTCCAGCAACTGTTCATCTTGGTGCATCTATTTTCCTCCCTAAGGGAGCCGAGCATCTCAGAGGCAGTAGCCACAGGACATGCAGTGTTTGCTTTCTGAGGTTGCTTGTCTGGTACCTGCAGGCCAGCAGGTCCAATGCTGTTCCTGTTCATGAAGGGACAAGGGAGGTGCCATTACTAAGTGTTCACTAGGAGAAGCAGAACATGTTAGTGCAGCATTTCTCAAACTCTAGTCCTCCTGCATCAGTGTCTCCTGGAACATCCTATATAATTAAGAGGTAGTGTGCAAATTGACCATCACACCCTCATAAGATGGCTGCCTACAACCAGGCCAGCAGGGGAGTTAGTGAGAAACAACCAAATGACTGAACAATCAGGCCGGCATGCAGAGGCAATGGGGCAATCAGGCTGGCAGGGTGGGGGGCAATCAGGCTGGGGGGGGGCAGTTAGGGCTGACCAGGCAGGGAAGGGCAGTTGGGGGTTACCAGGCCAGCAGCATGGGGCAATTAGGGGCAACCAGGCTGGCGGGTGGAGGGGCATTTAAAGGCGATCAGGCCGGCATGCAGAGGCAATGAGGGGCAATCAGGCTGGCAGGGTGGGGGGCAATCAGGCTGGGGGGGGGCAGTTAGGGCTGACCAGGCAGGGAAGCAGGTGAGCTATTAGGAGCCAGTGGTCCAGGATTGTGAGATCGGGCCTAACCCGGGGATCGGGCCTAAATCGGCAAAACAACCAAATGACTGAACAAGCAGGCTGTGTGGAATGACCAGACCAGCATGGGGGCTTTTGGGGGCAACCAAGCCAATAGGGGAGCGCAGTTGGGGGTGACCAGGCCAACTGAGGGGGGCAGTTAGGAGCGACCAGGATGGCAGGGAGGGGGCAGTTGGGGGTTACCAGGCCAGCAGCATGGGGCAATTAGGGGCACAGGCTGGCGGGGGGAGACCAGGCCAGCTGGTGGGGCAGTTAGGGGTGATTATAGCAGCAAGTAGAGGCAGTGAGGGTTGATCAGGGGGCAATCAGGCTGGGGGGGGGCAGTTAGGGCTGACCAGGCAGGGAAGCAGGTGAGCTATTAGGAGCCAGTGGTCCAGGATTGTGAGATCGGGCCTAACCCGGGGATCGGGCCTAAATCGGCAATTGGACATCCCCCAAAGGGTCCCAGATTGGAGAGCGTGCAGGCTGGGCTGAGGGAACCGCCCCCTCCCCATACACGAATTTCATGCACCAGACCTTTAGTTTGTTTATAAAGCAGATTCCAGGGCCCCTCCATACCTACTGCATCCCAGCACATGCGGCTCTCTTTTGGTGGTTCTCAAGCTTGTTTGTGAGATAGAGTTCCAAGAAGTCATCAAGCTTCTTACCAAACACCACGACAGGTTCATAGTAGAGGTAACCAGCTGCAGGAGCTCGTGTGCTTGTGTGCTTAACGTAATGAGAGGTTACGTAGTGTTTAGGCCCAATACATTAAACTTGCCTGAGAGATCATGAACACAGAATTGGAAGACAAATGGCTGTGCTGGACACTCTTCCGTTTGCACCTGTAGGCCCACTCTCCATCCTTCCCTCCCTGGCCAACTAGCTTCCAGTTGGGTTTCACCCATGGGCAGCATGAAAGCAGGGCAGAGGACGGGAAGAGAATGAGGGCAGGGATTTTATCCTCTGGCCTCCTCTGTGGAATGGAGGCCCCTGCATGCTGCTGACCAGACAGCAGCTATCTCCAAGTTCAGGCAACTGCTCCATCGCCCTGCCCCTTTAGGCCTAGAGGTGGTGATGACTCCCCACTGTCCGCAGCCTCAGGGTCCTGGAGCATCCCTTACTGATTTCCCCAAATCCCACCACACTTTTGTCAAACACGGCACATTGACTCGGTGTCAGTGAGCCACCTGTCTCCTGCTGGACGTTGGCTGGCACAACAGTGCTATGTGGTTCGTTACACAGGCCTTGGAAGTAAGCAACGCCCAGGGTGAACCCCAGATCCATAACATCCTTGAAGTATGTCTGGCCTTGAAAGACTCCGTGCATCTCTCTGGGCCTCACCCTTGAGACACTCCTCATTGCCCCCTGGACCAAATAACCAACGCCAGTCATGCTTCTTGCTGCCAACAGCTCAATGCAAAGCCAGCTGTCTTGAGCCGCAAAGGAATTGAGACAGAGGTCAGTAGCTCACAGACTCAATGAGGAGGCTGGAGGACCAGGCTTAGAAAACAGCAGAAGCCAAGAGAGAGTGGGCAAGAGGCCACAGCTGAGGTTAGAGCATGAGGTCGTCTAGTGGTGAGCTTGCCATTGATGCTACAGCCCCTCCCCTGCACACTTGAAGCGACTCGAACCTGCCACCATGCTGTTCATGGGCTTTGTATGTGCACTCATCTCCAACTGGCCCCATGTCTTTCATCACAGGATCATGCGTTTGGCCAAGCTTAGGTCAAGTCCCAAGCCTGTGCCATAGGCGCCAAGGGGTGGAAGTGGGGGAGCTTTGCGTCCTAGTGAGACCCACACATTGGTGCCAAAATAAAAAAGGCACTGGGGCTGGAGACTCAAAAGATGACAAATATTGCCTACACAGCCTCCCGAAGCTGGTAGGATGAAGTGAGATCACCTGAATAAAGCACCTGGCACACGCGGGCCTTCAGTCCATGGCGGTTAGTCACTCTCAGCACCGTTACAACTGTGGTCTCCATGCCCCGTGTCTAGACTGGGGCTCCCGGAAGCACTCACCTCAGACGCAGGCTGAGGACCCTGGAAAGTCTTGGGGCCCCTCTGACCTCATGCAGGGCTTTTCCAGGCATCACCATTGGGACCACTTGCCTCACAATCACCTGTGCTACTTGTTAAAATGCAGGTCTTGGGCCCTCTCTAGAGTTCCTAAACTGGAGTCTCCGGGGGTGGAGCCCGCGCATGCGTGTGTTTGCCAGCCTTCCCACGCGATTCAGCCACATGCTCATACTTGAGAAGCGTGGTGGGGAGTGAGATTGAACAAGGCATGTCATCAGGAAGGTCTGCACCAGACCCTGAAGGGCAAACCGAATGTGAATGCACCAGAGGGGCCCGGGGCTGCTCGGGGAGGATGTCTCGGTGCCCTGAGGAAGTGAGTGGAGCAGAGGTGGGATGTCCGGTGGGTGGGTCAGGGCTTGCTGTGGTGGAGAATGGGGAGTGCTGCCCCACAGGCTATGGCATAATGAGAGCGGGAAGGAAGATGTCACAAGCCCAGTGATCGCTCTTCTGCTTCTGCAGTTCCTGAGCGGGTCCCTCTCATTGCATTTCCCTCAGGGTTTCTCAATTGCAAAGGTAGTCCTCTCAGAGAAGGTGGAAGACACCCACATGGGGCAACATCCTCCAGCAAGCGCTAGAGCCCTGGGATGGCCAGTGCCTGATGGGTGGAATGGACAGGATGGGGCTCTGGGGGCGGCCACGGCTGCTGCTGCTGCTGCTGCTGCTGCTGCTCTGGGTCTCAGGTGAGGAGAGGAAGGGAGAGGGACGTAGATGGCCAAGGGAGGTACCTCCTAAGAGGGGTTTTCTCTCCCTCCTTTAGGGGGACGGGGATGGGATCCAGGGATGTGTTGGAGACAGGAATGGGGAGAGAAGGAAATGAAGGCAGACTGTGCTGCCCGGCCCCGACCCAGCGGGGCTGGGTGACCAGTGGATGCTGGAGGTTCCTCCAGTGCATCTCCAAGTTGAGAAAATGATGTGAAGTCACCAAACAGCTGTTCCTCGCCGTGCGGACACCCTGGGAGATGGAAAGCAGTGCAAGGCACAGTCCCTCCTTAAAGGAACATTCGGGGGCCGAGGCAGACGAGCAAAGAGGTTCCGGAAACAGACAGAGCTGGTTCCAATCCTGTTTCTGCCACTTTGTACAGATGTGACCGTAAGAAGTCCTCTGCCTCCTCTGAGCCTCAGTTCCTCATTTGTGAACAGCGCCTACTGCGGAGGGTTGTCCTAGGAGCCACACAGACGATGGATGTGAAACACTTGGCTCAGTGTTTAGGGCTTAGCAAGTGCTTAACGAAGCCCAGGCAGCTGCCCAGGACCAAGACGCTGGAGATGGAGCAGGTGTAGGGTGGTCAGTGGGCTGAGGGTTGCGGGGAGACTGAGGGTAGTGGCAGCTGGAACTGCTCAGTAGGCTTCTCTCTGGGACCTAATGGGATGGATATGGGCAGAGAGGAGTGGGGACCCCATCTGGCTTGGGGACGCCAGGAGGTAATGCAAGGCACTGTGTCCCTGAAAGCAAGGTGCATGCCTGGGAACCACAAGTAGAAAAGAACATGGGTGGCAAAACTGGTTCAGTTCTCTTTCTACTTGAAAAATAAAAAGCTTTCTACTATGGAAATATTTCAATTTATAAAGTACAGTATAGAAAAAGTAGTCACCATAAACTCATCTACTAGATTCAAACACTGAACCAGGATTGGTATTTTGCCCTATTTGCTCCGTATGTGTATATATTGCTAAAGACGCCGAGCCATCTCACAGAGTGCACGGAAATCCCCAATGACTCCCAAGGGCTTGAGGGAGCTATCAGGACTCTCGCCTGGGCCCTGGGCTCTGCTGTGTGCTCCGTGGCTTTGGGGATGGTGGGAGGAAGGCTGCTCAGTGAAGCTCTTCGCCCTCTCATTCTAGGACTCCGAGGCGAAGATGAGGAACAAATGTGCCTGCTGGAAGGCAGCAACCTGACCATTTCCTGTTTGTACACCAGGCAGTACGCCTCCAGCCTGAAGGCCTGGCAGCGGGTGAGGAGCCGCGGGCCCCCAGAGACACTGGTGCGCACAGATACCAGGGTCGCGGACCTGAACATGGCCCAGGCCGGGAGATACCTGCTGGAGGACGACCCAAACGAGGTCATGTTCAGAGTCACCATGAGGGAGCTCCAGAGGCAGGACGTGGGGCTCTATCAGTGTGTGATTGACCTCTCACCCCAGACCCCCGTTGTCCTGCCTCCTCGGATTCGGCTGGTACCATGTGAAGGTGAGCAGCCCAGACAGGGAAGGTTGTGGAGGCTGAGCTCCTGAGCTGCAGGCTGGCATGTCTGCCTCTAGGGGGCTTTGGAGAGAGAGCGCAGAGTCATGGAAAGCCCTCCATCCGAAATCAGAGCACGTGGGTCTTCTTGTCTCATGCTTTGTGACTTTGAGAGCCATAGCTCCTCTCTGGACCCCAGTTTTCTCACCGGTTAAGGCAAGAAAGTTAGACTAGGTGATGTCAAAATTTCTCTCAATCTGTGCAGAGTGCCGCTAAGAGGACCGGGTACTGAACACAGGCTGCATGGCCAAGGTTATGGCTGTCTCCACTGTACACGGGAAGAAGGCTCAGGGAGGGCACGGGACTCACTGTGTCTTTCAGCCGTTACATGGAGCGGCTGGGATCCGACAGAGACCCATTGGATCCGATGGTCCTTGGTGGATCCTGGAAGGGGCCCAGTATGGCCAGTGAAACTGTTCCCTTTCTCAAGGGATTTACATAGTAGCAAACAAGGAATAGGTGTTAGACAGCAAGACGAAGGGCGTCTCAGGTCCTTGAATTGCTTCTCATGGATGGGGGCCTGCTAGTTCTCCCCCTCTCTTCTCAGAAAGCCGGTCTACCCACCTAACCCAATACTTCTGCCCCGAGCTCCCCAATAAACCTTCTCCCTTTGAACCAGAGCGTTGGAGAGGCCTCCACCACACAGGACCCTGCTCTCTACTTCCTGCAAATCCCAATATGTAAATACTAGAGGCCCAGTGCACGGATTCATGCACATTGAAAGGAAATTAATTAGAAAGTGTCTGGTGGAGAAGGACTGGGGGAGATGGGCACAACATGCCCTGGAACCAACCTCCCTCCATCCCTCACCTGGCCGACTGCAATGGGGCGAAGCTGGGACTCGAAGGAGCTGGAAGGGTGTCTGCAGAGTGAGCAAGGTCCCTCAGCCTGGCCTGCAGGGATCAGGCTGAAACCAGCAGTTGGACATCCCTGAGGGGTCCCAGAGTGTGAGAGGGCACTATGCAAATTGCTGTTACTTGGCAGCTCCTGCACTGAGCGTCGGCCCCCTGGTGGTTGGTGCACGTCATACCTACTGGCCAGTCCACTGGTGTCTTAGCCTGTTATATATATAGATTAGGCCAGGGTGGGGCTAGAGTCAAACTTCACAGTCATGTCTGGAAATAAAGAGTTGACCAAGCAAAAGGAAGGTGCTATAGGCAGGAGTGGAAGGAAGCTACTGAGCCCACATAAAAGGAAAACATGCCCCAGGCCTTTAGGAACACCCAGGGATTCCCAGGAATGAAGAGACTGGTTACAAGTAATCTATGCAGTCGGTGAAGCAGTTCCACTGCCTTCTCTACACAGGAGCAATTTAGTAATTTGGTCTCAGTACCCGTACACGTGGAAGTGCTGAAACAGTTGCTGGTTGCAAAGGTAAGTGGTGCCGTCACAGGATAATAAAAGGTGTACGGGCCTGGTTTCCACTTCTCCTCAACCCAGAACCTACTCAGTGACCTTGAGAATGTCCCTCATCCTCCTCCAGGCTTCCTCCATGGTGATGTTCAAAGGTTCCAATTCTCCGGGGTTCTCTATGCTTAAGTTCAGAGAAATAGGCTTTATTTACACCTTTGGCAAAGTTTGCCCACTCCAGTAGGCAGCTTGGGCCCACCAGGTCTGACTCCATCAGTTACGAGCTGCCTGGTTCTTTAACGCAAACCTTAATAAACACAATAAGGGAAATTATTGGGAATGACTGAACCCGTCTTATTGAATGAGAATGATATCAAGTTTAATACAGGATAAATGTGAACGTAATTATTTTCATCAAACCACAAATAGCGGGCAGTGGCGTTTTCACAGCAGCTTCCTCTTTCTCTCTGCAGCAACTGGAGAAAACGTTGGCTGCTGTAGCAAAGGAAACAGAGTCTAGCACAACTTGTTTCTGCCTGGAGGACTTACAGGTCTCCCAGGGAAACAAGAGCGCAATCCTCTGTAAGGACACCTGTGGTAACATGAGGTGGCCTGGGAGGGGTGGCAGCCAGGCGCCGTTTTCAGTCAAGTTAAAACAAATGAATGGAAACTTCTTCCTGGAGTGGTGTTAGGCCTGCCCCGATAAATGGCCTTACCCTCAGTGAACTGTGGGGAATCGTCGGCGTTTTCCTCCACTTTTCCAGGCAGGGGAGGGCATGGCAGCAGATGCCCACAGAGAGAAACTTACATAATGTCATGCTGTTCGGAGGTGATGGATGTTGTCCACCCAACCCTGCCTTAGGAAGAGAGGCCTGAAGTGGGAACTTAGGGAGAGAAGGGGGCGTGGGAGGCAGGAGAAGGGTCAGAAGTGAGAGCAGGGCTTGTGGCCTGGTGAGCAGGCCACTTGACTGTGAAGGGCTGGGTGGACCTGGGAGCCAAGAGCTAAAAGATTAGGCCAGGCTCCCTGGGCAAGACTCTGAAGGCTGAGACCAGCAAATGTCACAGAAATACACGGCAAGGAGACAGGAGACAGGGGACCCAGTGTGGCTCTGCTGATGTCTACTGAGTGGCCTTAGACACTCCCTGTCCACCCTATTCCTTAGGGCTTAGATTGGATGGTATTGAATGCTTGCTTTCACCTTTGACCTTCTAGGACTCTGTGAATATTTATCCCCCAAATATAGTACAGTCCCATAGCAATGAACTTGGGACATAGTTGCTCAGCCTGTGGAAGAAAAATGGTTCCAAATATCTTGGAGGTCCCTCTCCGGTTCAGGGTAAGTCAGACAGGTTGTCCAGCAGACTGGCAGCCTCAGGGAATGCAGTCCCATCTTCATCAAGCATTTTCTGGGCCCCCAGGTGTCAGTCAAAGAGAACCAACCCTGAAGGGTAATCAGGATTCAACATCAGTTGAGTCTGAATGAGGGTCGCTGCCCAGAGGCCACAGCAAAGTAGAATGATACTTTGGGGTCATTAGCTGGGCCCTCAGCTCAGGCCTCTCAGGTGGGCTCCAGTGAACCAGACTAGACCACATGGAGGCCTGTCCCCTGTTCCAGGCAGGCGAGGGAGTCCTGAGCCCCTGCAGGCAGAAGGACCTTCACTTCTATTTCTCTTCTGAAGCCCTCACACAAGCCTTGAATGTGACTGCCTCAAGGCAGCACAAGTCCCATCAACCAGCCACAGAGGAAAGGAGCTGGGGGTGGGGAGCTATGATTACAAAGGTGTTTCTACCCCTGATGGCAGAGCATCACCTAGAAAACGTGGCCCAGGGGCCAATGCATTTGAGCAAACTTCCTTGGAGTTGAAGGAAGGGGATGGACAGAAATCCCCTGCACAGAGCTGTTGGGCCATGGGGCCCAGAGGGTGTAGGGAGCACTGCCTGGAGGAGGAGAAGCTGTGGAGGTAGCAGAGGAGTAACACATGCAGAAGGGGGGGTGGTCGCCACCAGGAGCAGGTGGGGACATGCTCTCACCGAGTGTCAGCGACACATGGAGACAGTGGGGCTGAGTGGACAGGAGATGGTGAGGCTACAGCAGGGCCGGTGGTGGATTCAGACTGCGAGGCCTTGGGCGCCGGCAGCCTGTGCACTTTGTTCTGTGGGCAATGGGAGCACAGCCGGCTTTCCCTGGCGCCTTGAGAGGGAGAGGGAGGGCTCAGTGCAGAGTGGTTGATGCAGGGGCTGTGGGCAGGAGCGATGCAGAGGGAGATATTAGGGGCAGGAGACCAGGTAGATCTCTTTAGGGTAGTGGTTCTCAACTTTCTGGCCCTTTATTTATTTATTTATTTATTTATTTTTGGTTATTTATTTATTTATTTAAATTAATTCTTTATTGTTCAGATTATTACAGTTGTTCTTCTTTTTTCCCCCATAGCTCCCCTTCACCCGGTTCCCACCCCCCCTCTGCCCTCACCCCACCCACTGTCCTCATCCATAGGTGCACGATTTTTGTCCATTCCCTTCCCGCACCCCTCACATTCCTCCCCCCGCCCCCCGCCGAGAATAGTCAGTCCACTCCCTTTCTATGCCCCTGATTCTATTATATTCACCAGTTTATTCTGTTCATCAGATTATTTATTCACTTGATTTTTAAGAGTCTCATGCTCTACCGAGTGAGCTAGCCGGGCGCCCAATTCACTTGATTTTTAGATTCACTTGTTGATAGATGTGTATTTGTTGTTCACAATTTGTATCTTTACCTTTTTCTTCTTCTTCCTCTTCTTAAAGGAAACCTTTCAGCATTTCATATAATACTGGTTTGGTGGTGATGAACTCCTTTAGCTTTTTCTTATCTGTGATGCTCTTTATCTGACCTTCAATTCTGAATGATAGCTTTGTTGGTTAAAGTAATCTTGGTTGTAGGTTCTTGGCATTCATCACTTTGAATATTTCTTGCCACTCTCTTCTGGCCTGCATGGTTTCTGTTGAGAAATCAGCTGACAGTCGTATGGGTACTCCCTTGTAGGTAACTGACTGTTTTTCTCTTGCTGCTTTTAAGATTTTCCCTTTGTCTTTTGCTCTTGGCATTTTAATTATGATGTGTCTTGGTGTGGTCCTGTTTGGATTCCTTTTGTTTGGGGTTCTCTGCACTTCCTGGACTTGTAAGTCTATTTCTTTCACCAGGTAGGGGAAGTTTTCTGTCATTATTTCTTCAAATAGGTTTTCAATATCTTGCTCTCTCTCTTCTTCTGGCACCCCCATAATTTGGATGTCAGTACGTTTGAAGTTGTCCCAGAGGCTCCTTACTCTATCTTCATATTTTTGGATTCTTTTTTCTTTTTGTTTTTCCTGTTGGGTGTTTTTTGCTTCTTCGTATATCAAATCTTTGACTTGATTCTTGCGATCCTCTAGTCTGCTGTTGGATGTCTGTATAATATTGTTTATTTCAGTCAGTGTATGCTTAATTTCTAGTTGGTCCTTTTTCATAACCTCAAGGGTCTCACTAGATTTCTTGAGGGTTTCACTAAATTTATAGGTCATTCCTAGAAAATTCTTGAAATACCTTAACCCCTTCCCCGGCAGAAACATGTATACTCGTTTTCACAAAATGTTCTTTTTCAGTCGTCGACGAGTATACTAAGAAAATATGGTAAAAAAATATGGTTTATAGGAAGACGAGTTACAAACTGTTTTCATAACCAGCATCAAAAATACTATATAGAACCAAAATAAAAAA